TCGTTCCACCAATCACCAGGGACATATCGAGGCGTTCCACCAATCACCAGGGCCATATCGGGCGTTCCACCAATCACCAGGGCCTATCGGGCGTTCCACCAATCACCAGGGCGTCGGATCGTCCCACCAATCACCGGACATATCGAGGCGTTCCACCAATCACCAGGGACATGTCGGAGCGGTCAGCAGTTAGCTTCTCCACCAGGCAATGATATTGGTGTGTGTGTGTGGTTCTTTTTCACTACATGGGTCCATTCCTTCCCTCTCACTACACATGGGTCCATTCCTTCCCTCTCACTACACATGGGTCCATTCCTTCCCTCTCACTACACATGGCACCATTCCTTCCTCTCACCATGGATCCATTCCTTCCCTCTACTACACATGGCACCATTCCTTCCCTCTCCACTAGGTCCATTCCTTCCCTCTCACTACATGGAACCATTCCTTTCCTACTGGATCATTTCTTTCTCCCATGGCACCATTCCTTCCTCTCCTCACTCCACATGGCACCATTCCTTCCTCTCTACATGGGTCCATTCCTTCCCTCTCACCACATGGCACCATTCCTTCCCTCTCACTACATGGGTCCATTCCTTCCCTCTCTCACCACACATGGCACCATTCCTTCCCTCTCACTACACATGGGTCATTCCTTCCCTCTCACTACATGGCACCATTCCTTCCCTTTCTACACATGGGTCATCCTTCTCTCCCACTACCTTCCATTCCTTCCCTCTCCTACACATGGGTCCATTCCTTCCATCTCACTACACATGGCACCATTCCTTCCCTCTCTCCTACACATGGCACCATTCCTTCCTCTCACTACACATGGCACCATTCCTTCCCTCTCACCATGGCACCATCCCCCACATCCTCCTCGCCTCTCCCTCCCTCTCCACCCCCTCCTCCCTCTCCACCTCTCCCCCTCCCTCCCTCTCCCTCCCTCCCCTCCGCCTCTACAGAATAATGGAGAATGCGGGTGTGGTGCCTGGTCTCTCCCCTACTCTCATTCACCCCTGTACCTCTCTTTTACCTGTACCTCTCTGTACACCACACACCTCTCTGTTACACCCACCTGTACACCTCTCTGTGCACCCACCTGTACACCTCTCCGTTACCACCTGTACACCACAACTACACCCAAATATACATTATTAATTTCCTGTGTACATCCATTCTATCACGCTCATGTGTACACTCATGGCCAGATCAATATTGACTCACTCGTTACTGCTAGTACTAACCCGTGTGTAATAATAATAATAATAATAATTATTAACGGTTTATTGAAAGGCAGCAGCCAGAAGGCTGAAAATATACAGTTACATATTTGGGGAATGGGTTACGAATTACAAATAATATACAAAATTGACATAAGTGACACAAATAAGACATATAAGTAACTTAGATAGGGATCAGCTCAAAATACCAATTCATTTCAACATAGTGACGGTGTAGGGAGCAGTGTTTACACAAGGGTGAATACACTGATTTATTACATGTTATTGATAATTTTTTACAATGGTTGGGACTGGGCTGTTCTTATAGCTGATCAGTTCATTTTGTATGGGCTGGATGCGGTTGTGGTGTCGAACAGCAATGAATTCTCGGACAGGGGATCTCAGGTGGTAGTAGGGGCCGGTGTCGAGGGATGGTGTAATGAAAGCTTCTTACCAAGAAATTTGCAGATGAGGTCGTGGTGATGGTCAGTAAGAGTCCGGGTCAGTGTGTTGAAGGCGCTTCTTGATATGTGTGGAGTAGGAAGGGGAGAGAATAATCTTGCATGTGCCACTCTTTTGCACTTTCTAGGTGTTTTACGTTGTGTGGCATTTGGGGAGGGAGAGACCAGGTGGGAGGCATAGGTGAGCTTGGGAAGTATGAGATGTTGATGTAACACTATGAGAGGAAGCTCGGAATTCAGGGGAACTCGAGGGGACTTGAGTCGGCGGAGGAGGTGGGGAAACTGGAGGATTTGACAACTTCACTGACGTGTGGTTTCCAATTTAGTTTGTTGCTATGGTGACGCCGAGGCTTCACCGTGGAATCTGGCCACAGGTGTGTTCGGACCTAGGGTAATGGGAAGGGAGGTGGGACAATGTCGGAGGAGGTTGATGTGCATAACATTTGTCTTGTGCGTTTGATGATGGTGACATGGTTGTTGGTGGCCCAGTTTTGGAGACTGTTCAATAAATCCTGAAAGGGCGGTATAGTTGGGAGCGGAATTGGCCTTTAGTCCAATGGGTGGAGTCGTCGACATATTTCCAGCGAGCAGGGGGCTTCTCTTGGGAGCATCATTGATGAGCATAAAGGAAGCAGTGGTCCCATCTTGGTGCCTTGGGGGACGCCACAGGTGAGTGACTGAAAGGTGGGCAGCCCCTCGGAAACTGCAACGGCGTCGGTCACTGAGAGTCTGTAAGCCATGGTATGAGACTTCTCCGAAGCTGAGGTGTAGCTTTGTTTATGATTATATTGTGGTCGACTAGGTCGAACGCTTTGAGTGAAATCAATGAAGGCGACAGCTACAGACGTTTTTCGTTTCTCGAGATGGCGGTACATATGTAATCGAGAAAGCTGACAAGACATTGAGTGGTGGAGGAAGTTTTCATGTTGCCAAATTGCTGAGGTCTACGGCTCCTGCAATATCAGCATAAGCCCAGTCAAACACAAAACTTTCACAGATTAGGCTGGGTATTGGGGTGATTGCAATAGGTCGTAGCTGATTTAAGGATTGTGGGCTGGTTGACTTGGGCACTGGTGATACATAAGAGGTCTTCAGTCAGCTGGGCATGGCTTGACTGAGAGAAGCATTGATGATGGAGCATAGGGGTTTAGCAAGCTCGGGGAGAACTCCTTGAATAGTTTCATTGGTAAGTCAATGGGGGTGGTAGAGCGTTTTAATTTTAGTTTGTCAGGCGTTTTGCTACGTCAAATTCCTCTACTAGATCAGTGGGAAGGGGGGGCTGGTAGGTAAGCAGGGGAGTGGTTGTGTCAAGCCGTGGGAGCGTCTGGCATATAGTAGCGAAAATGGTTATTTGTTTGCTCAGCTGCGTCAGCTTTATTAGTGAGATGGCTAAGGAAGGGGGAGGGTGTGTCTTATTGTTTTAGTCCACAGGTTCTTTAAGCTTACCATACCATTGACTGATGTTGGTCTGCTTCAGGTGTTGTAATTTGGTTGGGTGATGGGACTTCTTTGCAGTGCGTATTTCGCGGATGACTCTGTTGCAGAAGAAGTGACCTGTAGCGGATGTGGTCATTGGGGATGAAATCTCTGTCTCTCTGTTGCATGAATGCTTGATCCGAGGTGTGATCAGGGCCAGAGTCAGCTGGGTGAGGATCTGACGGACTTCTCGGGGGAAGAGGTGGTGGGTGAGCTTCGGTGAGGTGGTGTTGGTATAATTTATCCATTTGGTTTCCACGTCATCCACGCTGAGTACTTCAGTCAGGGATGTGTTCCATCGTCAATCAGTGGGTCTTGATGCTTGGGGTCTCTGTGCTTGAGTGGGAGTGGCAGCAGGGGACCAGAGCACTGATAGAGGTGTGTGCTACACCCGACAGAGGCAGTGGTTGAGGTTGGTACTGGTCCAGCTAAGTCAGGTTAGGTAAGGTCAAGGGTGTTTTGACCGTGTGTAGGGAAGGGTGAGAAGGTCGCAACGTGTGTGTGTGTGTGTGTGTGTGTGTGTGTGTGTGTGTGTGTGTGTGGATAAACTATATACTGTAGTAATTAACATCGCACATACAGTCACTACAAACGAACAGACGAACAAAGACAATTGACTGACTGACTGACTGACTGACTCTAACTAACTAACTATTTAAAACCTTGAGGTAAATAAACCACCCGATCGGCCAATGAACACTCGAGGTCATGTCAGTATTAATTAAGTTATAAAGTGAGAAATAGTGTAATGATTACCCCAGGCTAATGCTAACTGCAGTGTTTGGTGAAGAGCCTCCAGCCAGTCAGCCAGCCAGCCAGCCAGCCAGCCAGTCAACCAGCCAGTCAGCAAGCCAGCACTCCAACAAAGTCTGAGAAGAAATGAAAAAACAAAACAAAACGTGGAGGCGAGGAAGGCAAGTAAGCCATCATCAATTAGTCTGTCTCGTCCTGTTAAATCAAGTAGGATCACTAATTAGAGGAGGAGGAGGCAGTGGTGGCAGACGGGAACATAACAATCAGGTAATGGCAGGCAGCGGCAGTCAGTCTCAGTGTCAGTCTCTCTTAGATAGGCCAACTCAATGATCACGTCAGCTGGAGAGAGTCACCAACAGCAACGGGGAGGGGAGGGGAGGGGGGGGATGGGAGGGGTGCTGATGCCCTCGATAATTCATTACTTCTTCACCACCAACTCTTCTCCCCCTTCCCTCTCAACACCCCCCTTCCCTCTCAACCCCCTTCCTCTCAACCCCCCTTCCCTCTCAACACCCACCCCTCCATCCCATACGCTCTTTCCTCTCCTCTCCTCCTCCTCTCCTCTCCTCCCTCTAACAACCCCACCAACCTCCTTCCCTTCTTCTTCCCTCTTCCTCTTCGCCTTAACTGACCTCATTTCCTCCTCCCCTCTTCCTCCTCTCTAATAACCACCTTTCCTCCTCCTCCTCCGCCTTAGTGACCTCCTTTCCTTTCTCCATCCTCCTCTTCTTCCATCCTCTCCTCCTCTTTCCTCTTCCTCCTCCTCTAGTAAATATAAACCCTCTCTCCACCCTAAGCAAAAAATCATCGGGATATTAAGTTTTTTTTCCCTTGACTCACGTAACAAAACCCAACACGAAGACGTCACTGTGATATTTCTGGACACCTGGACACGTCGCCATTATTACAGGTAGGTGTGTGTGTGTGTGTGTGTGTGTGTGTGTGTGTGTGTGTGTGTGTGTGTGTGTGTGTGTGTGTGTGTGTGTGTGTGTGAGTGTCCCTTACATGAGTTATGGGTCAGCTATCCACAACCCTAGAATCAGCTGTACACAAGACCTCACGCCTCAGTTACGAATACACTCACCTGTGAAGAATTCCTATGGCACTTATGAGTACCAAGGAAGTAGGTGAGGTGGGTGTCTGGCGTGACCTTCTGCTGGTGCTGGAGGTCATCCTGGGGGTCACACTGATTGATGTCAAGCGAGGTCACGTCTATATCCAAGCTCAGCATCCCTAGGTCACTGTTAAAGAGGAGGAAGAAGACGAAAATTAGGTCACATTGAGAGGTCACATTAAGGATTTTTGTTAACCTTTTGTGTCTCCTGGGAATACCTGGGAGTAATTAACCTTCATTGTCACTCGTTAGTTTATTACACCTGATGATTAAATACGCTAATCCTATACCTGGAGGAAGGGGTTAAGTTAGGTTATGATAGGATGTGCTGGGTTTGGTTTGATTGGGTTAGGTTAGTTTAGATTAGTGTTCGTTTAGGTTTAGTGTTAGGTGAGGCCAATAGACCCATCGCAGTTTCCACCATTCCTGTAAGAACATGAGAATGGAGGAAACTGCAGTGGGCCTATTGGCTCATACTGGGTAGTCCCGTTTACACCCAACCCCTATCGCTCATATATCCACCCAACCTGTGTTTGAAGCTACCCAGCGTATTCGAGTTAATGATGATTTGGTAACTTGTTCCATTCATCCACTACTCTGTTTCCAAACCAATGTTTACCTATTTCGCGCCTAAATCTAAATTTGTCTAATTTAAAACCAATGTCACGAGTTCGCTCCTGGTTGGATAGTCTGAGTACCTTTGTTATATCACCTTTGTTTAACCTGGACGCACATTTATACACCTCTATCATATCACCCCTCACTCTACGCCTCTTCTTGTTCTTATGTATGCTATACTTAGTAAACACCACACCTGAACTGTCTCCCTCACTGTGCTGTCAACAATGTTATTATCCACGGTCGGTCACCTGTTACTAGACATCACCCATAACATTATTTATATACCAGTTGCCAACACTCTTCTCTAAGGTATCAGCGGTCATGTGGACGTGTTGTCGGTGTTACTGTCTTATTTATACACTTCAGTAACCTTCAATAACTAGTACCTTTAAACGTGTGTTTGAAGTTGAAATTATACCCAGACATTTCTTATTTATCATCAGTGTTACAAAAAGTTACGAATTTAACTTTACAATAGATGAGAGAGAGAGAGAGAGAGAGAGAGAGAGAGAGAGAGAGAGAGAGAGAGAGAGAGAGAGAGAGAGAGAGAGAGAGAGAGAGAGAGAGACAACAGCACGGCATTCTTTTCATACCCTAGAACTGGGGGACTTTTAGTTAGAGGTCTGTTTACGTATGAAGGAAGGGGGGGGGGCAGTAGGTTACGGGGAACAGGAGAGAAGGAAAATAAGGTTGATAAAAGGGTGAAAAGATGGAGGTGAAAGGTAGCTGAAAGAGGGGTTTAATTTATGCCGAGGAAATATTGAAGATAAAAGATGTACTTGGTAAGGGTGAGAGGAGGAGGAGGAGGAGGAGGAGAATAAGGTGGGAGAGGAGGAGGAGGAGAATATGAAGGTGGGAGGAGGTGAGGGTAGGAGGAGGAGGAAGAGGAGGAGCATAGTTGGGGATGGAACAACAACAACAACAACAACAATAACAACAAAAAAAAAACAACAACAACAAAACAACAACAACAACAACAAAACAACAAAACAACAACAAAAATTTACCTATGAACTCACAAATACCTGAACAAATATACTCTTCCTCCAGTAACAAAACAAACTCACAAACTTATTAAACAACAAGACAGACAAACACATTCTTCTATAGACAAGACTTGAACCACTGTTTTGCTTTAAGATTCACAAATAAAACACAACACAACACTCAAGATACTACATACTTGTTAAGTAAAGTGTTAAGTGCCCTCGATACTTATAATCCAGAAAAAGTTGTTAAATAATGAAAAAAAAGTTTAATCCAGCTTCAATCTATGGTATAAGAACGAAATAAATTGGTCATAGGCTCCCCATTATCGCTCAGGTGTAGGTGAAAAGAAAACACGGGGGGAGGAGAGGGGGTGGGGAGGTGGGAAAGGGGAGGGAGGGGGGAGAGGGAGGGAGGGGTGGGGAAAGGGGAGGGAGGGGGGAGGGGAGGGGTGGGGGAAAGGGGAGGAGGGGGAGAGGGGAGGGAGGGGGAGAGGGAGGAGGGGGGGAGGGAGGGGAGGGAGAGGGGGAAAGAGGGGTGGAGTCTTAAAGAGATACAAGAGTTAGGAAGAAGAAATTGTAGTGTGGTAATTAACCTGCCACTAGTGAGGAGTCTTGGTACAGGTGAGTATCGAGTCTCAATTAATCTCGGTTAAGGGGGGGGGAGAGGAAGGAGAGAGGAAGGAGGGAGGAAGGGAGGGAAGGAGGAGAAGGAAGAGGAGGAGGAGGACGAGGTAGAGGACAAGAAAAAGAGGAGCAGAAGGAAGAAGAGCTGGGAGCGTTACCTGCCCTACCACTGATCAACCCAACCTCGACCACACACACACACACACACACACACACACACACAACGTAAACACTTAGAAAGTGCAGAAGAGGGCATGCAAGATTATTCTCTCCCTTCCTACTCCACATATCAAGAAGCGCTCAACACACTGACCGACTCACTGACCATCACCACGACCTCATCTGCAAATTTGGTGAGAAGCTTCTACACCATCCTCGACACCGGCTCCTACTACCACCCGAGATCCTCGTCCGAGAGTTGCTGTTTGACACAAACAACCGCATCCAGCCCATAAGAGCACGAACTGATCGCTATAAAAACAGCCCAGTCCCAACCATTGTAAAACTTATCAATAACTTGTAATCAACCAGTGTATTCACCTCCAGTCAATCTTACCCTTTTGCACTGTTACTACGTTGAAATGCCCTGTAGTTTGAGCTTCTCCCCACCTAGTTATTATATATCATATTTGTATCACTTATGTTACTTGTATATTATTTGTAAATCAAGTGATTCATTCCCCAATTATGCAATTGTATATTTTCAGCCTTCTGGCTGCCATGCTCTTTCAATAAACTGCTAATAATTATTATTATTATTATTATTATTATTATTATTATTATTATTATTATTATTATTACACACACACTGCCCCAGGTCTCTTGTCAAGTGCTAAAAGAAGAGTTACCTTTATTACCAAGTTTCCAAACCTGATATTGATAATCTGCCAATACGTTCGAGCACTCAAACTTTAATCTTGATGAACTTATTGCAGTAAACCCTCTCAATAGCGAACTTCTCAGTAAGCCCTCAATAGCAGACTTCTCAGTAAACCCTCTCAATAGCGGACTTTTCAGGAAGCCCTCTCAATAGTGGACTTTTCAGTATAACAAGATTCCAAACAATAATGACACACACACACACACACACACACACACACACACACACACACACCAGGCATCCACTCTCTGATCACCATGGACACAAACAAACACACAGACCATTACCCTAATTGTAGCAGCAACTTTTGATGCTATTTTTTCTAGAGTATTTTGAGATTGTGTGTGTGTGTGTGTGTGTGTGTGTGTGTGTGTGTGTGTGTGTGTGTGTGTGTGTGTGAGCAGAACAATACAGCAGCCACAGACGTCAGCAGACAAGAGAGTGTTTACGAAGATACACACAATGAATGAATGGGAAGTTTTAATCAGTATAAAGAGCTTGTGGTCGTGCATGGGGACGAACCCAAAGGACTCGGGGAAGTGACTCACAGAAAGAGAATGAATGGAACGGATAAGAAGAAAGAAAAATAACAAAACAAGTAAGAGGTGATACTACTACAACTACTACTACTATTACTACTACTATTACTACTACTATTATTACTACTAATACTACTACTAATACTACTACTACAATAACAGCTACATCATCACTACTACATCATCACTACTACACCATCACCCTAACCATTACACTAGCACAGTGGTTCTCAACCTAGCAAGGGAACCACGGCAAGAATTTAGGGGAGCCACGTCGAGCTGTTATAAATTGTACGCTTCCAAATAATGTTGGGAATCTGAATTAAACAAAACTTGTATTACTTATTTTGACTTGGCAGAAGAGAATTTTCATTCTTTTTTTGTTATTTTGTTTAATCATAACGACAATACAATTTTAATATTTACATACAGACTCTGGCGCTTATTTTTTTTTTTTACGGATTGTTTAAGATACAGGTCCAGTCCCTGTCTGTGTGACAGGTGCTGGACCGAGCTGCTGAACTGACTTGTTCAGTACGTGTCCGTGTGTCATCCCTTTGCAAGTGGTGATAGGACCGAATGATCTCGGTCTGCTCGGATACCATCACGAAAACAGTGGAGTGTATTGTCTCTGAACCATATATTGTGTTTGAGCTTGACTCAAGCATAATATACTCCATAATTGGTGTTACTTATTTTGTTTCATAATTCATGTGGTCGCTGCTTTACGTGGGTGAAATATTTGTACACTTCCTTTATCAATTATTTCCTTATTTATTGGTGCCATTGTAGTTCATACTCATTCTTTACTTATATAATCCTAACATTTTTAGTGATAAATTTGTATGACCTACTCATTCTCATTCTTCCAAGTTGGGCAGTGCTTGTCAAAGGAGGCGTGTTCTTGCTTACAGGAAGTACACTTCAGCTTGCTAGCTTGAGTGTGAATGTTTACCTGTGTGTGTGTGTGTTTGCCATTCTAACTCTTGTCCTATTTATCTGTCTTTCTTTATCATTCTTTAGTCTTTATCACTTATCTGTTTCTCTGTTCTGGGAGAAAAATGAAGGAAACCACGAGGATGTTGAAAATTCCTCAAGGGGGGAATGGAGTGAAAAAGGTTGAGAACCACTGCACTAGCACAACTACGTCACTACCACCACTACCACTACACCACCACCACACAATAGGTAGCTACTTTCCCAGCCAGCTTCTTAAAGGCGAAAACGGAAATATCCCCAAAATACCGAAAACATCGAAAACAAAGTAAACACCATAAGACTGAACACTACACGAAGCGACTTGTGTGTGTGTGTGTGTGTGTGTGTGTGTGTGCGTTCTCCCTGAATGAGCGCTGCCACCCACTGCTCCCAGCCTCACGTTGTTGAAAAGAGGTGTAGAGGATAAAAAGCTTGGCGTGTCATCATACTCTGGTACTCAAGAGCTTGAAGCTTTTCCTGACGTCTAGAGCCTAAAGCTTAACAAATCAGGATAAAACACAGCTTAAAGCCTCACACCCTAAAGCTTCAGATTTTAAAGCTTCGGTTCTTAAAGTCTTACACCTTGAAGCTTCAGACCTCAAAGCTCCACGTCTCAAAGCTTCACACCTTCAAGTTTCACACCCTAAAGCTTCACACACCTCAAAGCTTTATGTCTCAAAACTTAACACCTTAAAGCTTCACACCCTAAGGCTTCACACACCTCAAAGCTTCACGTCTCAAAACTTAACACCTTAAAGCTCCACACCCCAAAGCTTCACACCCTAAAGCTCCACACCTCAAAGCTTCACACCTTCAAGCTTCACACACAACCTCAACATGGGGAAACTCCTTAATGCGTTGACGTGGCTGAGTGGATACACCTCCCACTTCTCGTCCTAAGAGTCGCTGGTTCACTGCCGGGACAATCAACCTGTTAGCCCAGTTGTGAGTTCCTACCTGACACTTTAGGATACGATAAAGGTCGAGTGCAGTACCTGGATACATTAGTAACCTCCTTATGTATAGTGTGTTTATATGTTCATTCTCTCTCTCGGTCTATTAGGCCTATGGGACGCATTTTCATTTCTTTTCTTTATTTTTTTTTCGTTTAATCTTTCATTTTTCATTAAAGTTCTTTCATTTCTCTTGTGTTTTTTTTGTGTTTTTTAATTCTCGGTCTTTGTCTTCGTCTGTTTCTGCTCATTTCGTTTGTCTCTATGCCTGTTTCTGTGTCTATTTCTGTCTGTGTGTCTGTCTGTCTCTGCGTCTGTCTGTCTGTCTGTTTCTATTAAAGAAGACGGGATCGGTCATCATCAACACGTGGATATATTTTAAACATTGTCTCGATAAGGATAATAAAATCATCTCTTGAGGGACCCGACCAGACCAATTTTTAGAGATCTCTTGTGGGACCTAATACTCTTAAGACCAATTTAAAAAAGACGCTCTAATCCACCAGAGACCATTTTATAAACCCGATCCGTTTATGAATGTTTTAACAAAGTCTCCCCTTAAAACAATTAAAAGAAAACCAAATAAGGGGTAACTAAGGCAAAAACTAGTTACAGGTTGTGTTATAAACCAGACTTGTTTAAATAAAACTAAAACATCCCCTTACGAGTAAATTAAAGCCATCCATTTAGTCAGGTCAGAAGAGGCGGGTAGTTGAACAGACTTAGAGCGATATAGAAACAAGAAATAAAGATATGCAAAAGATTATTACAGGGAACTTTCTTAATTGCCACGTATATAAAACAGGTATGTAGGTATATTACGACCACACACACACACACACACACACACACACACACACACACACACACACACACACACACACACACACACACACACACACACACACACACACACACACACACACACACACACACACACACACACACACACACACACACACACACACACACACACACCAAGAATTAAGAGAACTTGCTTGCTCGAGGGTAAGTTATATTTGTCAAACTGCTTCACAGGAGCAGCCCTGCAGGAAGACCTTGTTAGACTCCTCTTGACAATGGCTGAGGGAGGAAGAAGAGATTAGGAAGGTAGAAAAGAAGGGAGAGAGAGGGATGGTGGGGGAAGGAGGAAGGAGGGAGGGAAGGAGAGAGGGAGGAGGGAATAGGGAAGAGGAAGGAGTGGGGGGAAGGGGAGGGACGAGGGAGAGGGGAAGAAGAAATGAGGAGTAGGAAAGGTAGGTAGGTAGGGAGGAGGAGGAGATGAGGAAGTAGGTAGGGATGAGGGGAGGGAGGGGAGGAAGGGAGGGAATAAGAGATGGCGGAAGAGAGGAAGGGGAGGGGAGGGGGAAGAGGTGGTGAGGGAAGGCAAGGGAGAAGATTGACTGCCTATTAAAAAAGAAGATTGAGTGAAGGAGAGAGAGAAACAGAGGAGGTAAAGCAGAGACAAAGAGATTATGGAGATTGACGAACTGTGAGAGAATAACACACACACACACACACACACACACACACACACACACACACACACACACACACACACACACACAGCCTTCCTCTATCATTAAGAAAGTTACACCTGGCAAAAACAAAACAAGCAAAGGTGTTGATGGAGGTGACCCGACCATTAACCTAAGGTAACCTGACCACTGACCTAAGACCCGAGGAGGTTGTAGAGGGCGTGGCCGGTCGGTGGTGGGAGATGGGGACGGTGTAGGAGAGGAGCCAGCGTTTGTTCCGACACTGGAAGTACGGGTAGGTCCACCAGCCCAAGGAGCCCGACACACTCTCGTTCTGGAAGTTGGTGGTGTTGGAGGCGTCCTTGAACCACGGCTGATTGGCGACCTCTGACAGCTGGCCCAGGGGGAGACAATGACAAGAACACTTTAGTATACTGAACAAAATGACAGTGATTGATCCATAATAACATTGTTGACGATGAGAAACAAAATAATAAGATAAACTTTGATGAAGGGGAAAAATCACTTTATAACTCTGCAACATTGCAAGGCTTTACTCGAAATCAATCATGCAACAGAGACTCCATGGTCGGGTGTTGGGAGGGGGAAGGGAAGTTGGAGGAGGGGGGATGGGGGAGGGGGAAGGTGTTCAGGGCGCACCCAGGAATTGGATAGTTTTTCCCTCCAACTATTTGTGCTAGGTGAGGAGCCAACATGGTGAACTACAGAGCACTACCAATAGAGAAACAATTCTTACTAGAAGGGTGTCAGGGGCATATTTAATTTGTACGAACATAAAATATTCATGGATTTATTGAGCCGGTGTAGTTGGAAGGCCGGTGGGGCCCTGTTCTTTGACTTTTTTTCCCACCTGACACGCCAGGTGTGTACCACACTCTTGATACTGCCAGGAGATGGTAGGTCCTCCCGGTAGAGGTCAACCAGCTCTTGTATCCTTCTGCTGGTGTCAGGGTTACCAAGATGGATGGGATGACACTGAGTCCTTGGAAGGCCTTCTGGTGAACCTCATCTCCAGCTCTGCCAGGTGATGGTCTAGGAGTGGAGTGGCAACCGTTCTCCTGTAGTATTCAGCTGGTCCATCAGCTGACGTGTTGTCGTTGGCGTTTGCAGAGTCTGGGCATGGAAGGTGTGACACCTAGAGCTTCACACAGTTGTTCTGCCTGACGAAACCATTCAGTGTAGTGATCATCCATGTTGTTTCGGACGTCTTGTAGTGCGGCTTTCATACATTTAACTTCTCTGTTGGCCTCAAATATGTCCTTGGCCTGTGTTTGAAGGCTAGTGGTCACACCTTTCAGGTAGCCTAGTACATTGTTGGTGATCACCAGGGACACGATGAAGTCTGTGCTGGTGATGGCGAGCAGCAGGACCTGGGTGAGTCTGTAGACCAACTGCCAGGACCACCCCCCACAGTGTCCTACAGCAGGCCACCACCGAGGGATGTAACTCCACAAAGGTTTCCAGGGCATCTAGGCGTTACACCCAACGTGTATGCCACAGATTTTTCAGCTTGTGTTTCCTTTGTTCAGGTTGGGTCGCCAGGACAGCTGCCTCCAAGGCACGTTTGGGATGTCCTTCCATGAAAGTTGAGATCCTGTCCACGGTGCCCATCATGTTCCTGATACTGGTGATCTGGATGGACTTAACAACAGTCAGGTTGAGGGCATGTGATGAGCAGTACTGGCAGAGGGCCAAGGGGTTGGTCTCCTTTATGGTTGCTGCTGCCCCTTTGGAGCTGCCGGCCATGTTGTCAGCTCCGCCATAGGCCTGACCTCTAAGGTTGTTGATGTCAAGTTCATACCCTGTGATGCTGGTTGTTACCTTATCTGCTATAATTCTGCCAGTTACCCCGTTGTCACACTCCACCAGGTCTTCTCTGATGTGGTCATTAGGATCAACATACCTCAACACCATGCTGAGCTGCTCCTTGCAGGTAGTCAGTGACCTCATCAGTTATGATAGAATTTTTGTTTAACCGTCTGGAGGATATGGTCATGTATCTGTTCTCCACAAATGTGAATCAACTGGTTCTGGATATTACAAGATGCGTACAGAGCATTAGTGGCTGCTGTGCCTAGGTGCATACCCAGAAACCTGTCGCCAGCCTCCACACGGAAGTCAAGGGGGGCCAGAAAGTTGCCATGATTGGCAGTCCCATCACTGGCAACGTCTTTGGTATTGTCTCTGTGACCTCGCAGAGAAATGTTCTGACGGCCACAGAGGATAATAGTCTTGATGATGGCCCGGGGGGGGGGGGTTCCGGGCAATCAGGAACCCCCCCCCCCCTGGGTACGCCCCTTGTTTTACTATCACACGTCTCGTCTTCCTCCCCTTGACATACACACGTCCCCCAGTTTCATACAAGTATTGAAGATACGAATATTTCAACTGACCGTGACGCCGCTTCACACACACACACACACACAAACATTATTCCACCTGTACAAAAGTAAAAATAACAATGTAACGGAAAGCAAATATGGTGAAAAAATAAGAAAAATACTTTGAAAACAAAAAATTGTCCGAACACAGAAAGTGGTGTTGTTTGGGCGGGAAAATGTAGAGTAAAAAAAAAATAGTGAGAATTGTGGACGAGTGTGATGGAACTGCCACGACTACCAGAAGAACACGCTGAACCAACACTGTACTGTTGCCACTCAACTAAACAACATGAAAACTTGATCCATATGAGAGACTGGCGACAGGAGGAGAGGAAGGAAGGGAGGAAGGAGGGAGGAAATGAAGGAAGGAGGGAAGAGAGAGAAGGGAGAGGAAGGAGGGAGGGGAGAAACGAAAGGAGAGGAAGGAAGGAAGGGAGGAGAGGAAGGAAGGAAGGGAGGAGAGG